CATATCAGGACACTGGGATAAATCATAGACTGGGATTATGTATAGGGAAAATGGAAACTTAAAAGAAAGCATGCAGGCCAAATTCACTTCACTCAGTAACATTAAGCATACTGAGATTCAATGGCCTATTATTAAATTCAACAGAAAACATGCCTGAAATAAATACTATATATGACCCTGAACCCCAAAACATGGGTAAAAAAAATTTAAATTGAGATTTATACATCATATGAAAGCTGAATACATAAGCTTTCCATTGGTGTATGATTTGTTAAGATATAACAATATTTGTCCGAGACAACTATTTGAAAATAGTTGGGGTAGGCGCACATAAGCTTCCTTGCTTCAGCCTACCCCTTTTGAGCTTCCATTATTGTGTTATCTTAAGACTTCTGTAACAAACATGAATGTGAACAGCTCAAATAAATAAAATCTGGAATCTGAGGGTGCAAAAAAATCTATGTTGTAATCTAAGTTGTCCATTTATGTTCGTGATTGTGCTGCATTCACTCACAAAAATAAATGTTTTATATATTTATGGTAGGACATTTACAAAATATCTTCATGGAGCATGACCTTTACTTAAAACTACAATATATATATTTTCACCGCTAGGGGTCACTAACCTCTTACAATAACAAAGGCATAGGTTGATGACGCATAAGCGGAGTTATGGAACTTGTCGTCATGTCGATGGATCTAATAATGTTTATGGATGAGTGAATACATTCATGTTTTTTAACATGACTGTGGTATGAAGCAGGTCGCGATTGCTAATAAGAGACAGATATCAGCGCTACACACGAGTCGCGCGGATATAAAGGAATAAGGACATTTCATTCTACCGAACTACCCGCAAATGCTGAATTACTACTCACACAGGTCAGTTTATTTGATGAATTAAACTTGTGAGGTAACGCAGCGCTGTTTCACTTGGTCTACACTATCATACTAAACAGTAGTGATGGCAGTGTGACGCTGAAGCTTCGATACGTGCTTCGAAACCCTGAACTACAAACCTAGAGAACCGAGTAGCATCTGCCTGCAGTCCCGGAGGCTGCATTTTCAGGACCCCACTTCTAGGACCGCATTTCTAGGACCCTAGGTTTTTAGTGACAACGCCACCTACCGAATTAGAGGACCAGCGAAAATGGATGACATTCAGAGTGTGAGTATCAAATGCGAATCAATTTTTATTTGTTTAACTTTAAAAACAATTGTGATGCATTTCATTGGAAAGTTAACGTTGCCAACGTGCTGGTGATTTGCTAAACAGTCTTGAATGCATAGCCATCATATATTAGCCTCTAATGCTGGAAAATGAAATACTACGGTTCATTTAACGGAGCTGTTGCATGATAGGCTAAGCCTGTGTTGACTTACTTACAGCACAATAAACTGTACCATGTTCGTTCTGAAAGCTTGTTAATTACTCATTGTTTTTCCATTTTAATTCAGTTAAAATAATCGTAATGTTTTCACTGTCACGTGCTCACAGTAAGCCTGTTAACGTTACCCACAATACATGTTATGTGTACGTCTCTTCATTTTGACATGGTTTTATAAAGTTGGTTGAGACATATGACATTTTAATAGTCAGACATATCAGAGAGGCCATTATAATAATTGACTGTTAAAATCCCACGTGTTAGATTGTGTCATTTACTGTATAGGCCTACTTATATATGGTCAGGAAAAGTCGTGTCAATAATGTTATTTCTATTCAGATTTCTTGCATCTCTCTCTATTATTTTTTTCTCAGTTCAGATGGGCTTTATTGACATGAGTGTTTCTAGAACCTTTGTTCCCACAACATCAAAATCATTTTTTTTTCCAAATCTTTGAACAGTATGCAATAATTGTATTATGAACAGTAATTGGTATGAAGATTGATATCATTATTTTTATCATTATCATTACTCTGTGGTAACTAAGATCTTTTAAATATGAAATTTTAAAATTAGAGAGTAGAACATGTTCAACTAAATGTTCCTTATTTAATTCACTTCTCTTTCTCTCTCTTAGGAGTCAGTGATGATGTTGTCCATGTGTTTGTCCATCCATTGAAGTGGTTCACGTCATGATCAAATTTGTTTTTGTGTGTGTTCAAGTTCAGTTGTTACATATTATTTTGTAAAATATTTTGTGTGTTCAATTTCAGTTGTTATATATTATTTTATAAAAGATTTTGTGTGTTCAAGTTCAAGTGTTATATATTATTTTGTAAAATACACAATCTTAAATCTACCCCCTGAGTCATCCTTGTCTTCCCTCTGTACTTGAAAATGTGGTCCATCGAGTGACTGAAAAGGCTATAACATGATTCCTTGTTTATTTTACTTGAGTTATATTATAGTATGCTACTTAGACCCAATTTCTCAACATTCCTAGGAACCTGGTTTAATTGCAATAAAGAAAGTAGTATTTGGGTGTAATAAAACTTTTTAAAAAACTCTAATGTAGTTAAAACTGGGTGGAGATACTGCCTTGGTGGCACTTTTTTCGTTCCTCCAAACTAGGGTCCTGGAAATGCGTTCCTGGGACTGCGGTTCTCCGACTCGGTAGGTGGCGCTGTCACAAAAAAACTAGGGTCCTAGAAATGCGGTCCTAGAAGTGGGGTCCTGAAAATGCAGCCTCCGGGACTGCAGGCAGATAATATTGAGAGAACCACTGCTTCAAAGCTTGCTTTGGTGCGAAAAAAATCATGTGACATATGACGTCCGAAGCAGCAAGTGCTTCATTGCCTGAATGAATCATCTGACTGGTTTGCGGTCCAATCAGGTGATTCACTGGAACGGCGCGTCTCGATTCTGAGTCTGATGGTGACTGATCCACCAGTAGCAAGATCAGAAGACCCACTGGCGTACTGGCGAAACCATCAAAATGTGTACCCTCATCTGTTTAATCTTGCAAAAAAAAAATTTATGTTCGCCAGCATCATCTGTTCCTTGTGAGCGAGTGTTTTCCAAGTCTGGAGAGGTTGTGAGCAAAAAAAGAAACCGACTCAGTCCAAAAACTGTTGAAAAAATAATGTACCTCAATAAAAATCTTTGAGTGTTCCCCATCCCAAAAATCACCCCCTGCCATAGTTACACAAGCACACCCAACCTATGCCATATTTTCCAAGCACTCTCTCCTAAATAACACAAAACATACATTTATCAATTTTTATTTGTAAATAGAACATTATGCTCAGCATTAGCATGTGCATAAAAGAGTTTTCAAAGGAAATATAGTTAAAAATTTAAAAGTTAAAATGATCTTAGCAAAGATGCTTCAGAACTAAAGTAGTTTCTCCAATACTGCTCACTGATTAATTTGACTGCAGCCTTGCTTTTCGCCAGGAGAGGTCGCTGCAACTGAAGCTTCGAGTAATGAACCCATTTTCGAACCAATTGGCTCAAGTGGTTCAGTGCTTCACAAAAGCTTCATTTGGCCATCACTACTAAACAGCATTTGTATGTTGAAAGTTATAATGTTATTCTATGTATTAAGTTTGTTAGCTGTATGAGACTAGCAGTAAGCTAGATCAACATTAGAATTGTCACGGGTGTGGTGAAGGTAGGTGAAGACAAGAGTCCAGATTTCCAATTCAAATAAACTTTACTATTAAACACCTCAAGAAACAGGTATAGGCAGCCAGACGATAAACACACCAAGGTAACACAAACATCAGCATTGACGTGCTAACATTCAACGACCGACAAAGACTGAATGAACAGAGGCTAACTAAATACAGAGACAAATGAACCATAATGATGTGAAGACAGGTGACACAGATGATGATAACGAGGGACAGGCTGGTAAGTGAGGGAGTGAATACAGGTGTGGAGACGAGGAGGATTCTGGGAAGTGTAGTGAAGAGACAAGGACAGACTGGTGCAGACGAAGACTGTGACAAGAATAACATACTGATCATATTCTAACATTTCATCATGTTGAGCTATATAACATTGATTTGTTTAATGTACATTTACTCACCTGTCTAATAAAGTACATCCAAGAGCAGCGTCTCGTCAAGTCCAAGTTAGTCGCGGACATGGAGCTCTCGCCATTTCGAAAACACCACGCCGATATTGATCCTCGTTTTATTTCTCCTTTTGTCCCAAAGTCTGCTTGCCGTGGTCCATATTGTTTGAACGAAACAACAACAGCGTGAGCGTGCCGCTAGACGTAACGCAGTTGTCCACGTCTGTCGCCATGGTTACTATGGCAGTACAAGTGGAAACGAGGATATTACATCATTGACAGGCGACAATGACCAGGGATGAGCCATTATTTAAAATTGGAATTTCTCTGAAATTAAAAATCTTTGGGAACTTTTGGGATATTGTAAGTACACAACTGCAGGAAATATATCACACAGTGCAAGTGATTTTTGGATATTTTATTACAAAAATCATCTCAGACTCGAACACAAGCACATCTCAGACTCAGACTCAGCCTAATGATTTCTGGAATAAAAGAAAAATCGATAATTTTGACCCATACAATGTATTGTTGTCTTTTGCCACAAATATACCTGTGCTACTTGTGACTGGTTTTGTGATCCAGGGTCACATATGATTATGTACATGTGTTGCATGTACTTAACTGAATCACTAGTAATTTATATGATGGTGGTAATAAGAAAAATTACATTGAAATATATTTGCTAGACTTGATGACTATGTCACACTGGTTTTCTGTCTCTCTCTCTGTGGTTTTCTGCAATGACATTCTGTACAAAATAGACTTCAGCTAAATGTGTAATTAAAGAGTTAGTTTACCCTAAAATTCTGAAAATTTTAGTCATCCTGATGTACCCTTACATTCGGACCGAATGCAATGATTGGACAAACATTTTCTGGTCCTAAGCCTTATTTATGCATATAAATAATTTAAGACCACTTAACTTATTGATTGCTATCAGGATGTGAAGAGACTTTTAACCAGCATAACAAAAAATGTTTCTGGAACAAATCTCCAACCCTGCCTTTTATGTAACACTGAGAACATAATAGTCTTCAAAACTTTATTGTTAGATTGCAGAGTGCTGGGCACCAGTATAAAGAAATAAGGTAAGAAGCTGATATAAATGGCACAATATTTTAAAGTGGTTTGATGGTTGCCGTTGCATGTGATCATCAACTCCATCGGCATCAGAAGTACTTGGTGGGATCTGATTTGTCACACATTTGAACGTGAACATGGGAAGTGATGCCAGGATAAACGCTCTGCATTGGGAGCAGACTTCCGATCTTCTGCCCTTTCTTCAGGGTCCCGGTGTAACGGTCCGGCTTAACGTAGAACAGCTTGAAGCAGAGACCTGTCAAACAGACATGAGATTACTGTGAGATTATGCTTTTGACGTACAAAATCGTACTCCACATGTCCTATATTTACCATTCTCATCCCTAGGCGTCATGAAACTGACGCCTTGGGAATCATTTTGACCATGCTTCAATATTCGACGCTTTAGGCACCCTTTAGCGTCAGTTACATGACGCGATCCTAGGGCGTCATCTCACTGACGCTTTACCTTTGACGTCAGTTAGATGACGCTATCTAATCCTAACCCTACCCCAGACCTAAACCTACCCGCGTCATCTAACTGACGCTAAAGGTAAAGCGTCAGTGAGATGACGCCCTAGGATCGCGTCATGTCACTGACGCTAAAGGGTGCCTAAAGCGTCGAATATTGAAGCATGGTCAAAATTGTCATTTTAGTGACGCCTTGGGATGAGAATGCGTTGATATTTACTAATATATTAATTTTCAATATAGATATGACCTATTCTATGAAATAAATGTGTGCTACATTGCTATTCATGCTTTAGAATATTTAACATAAGGTACACACCTTCTCCACTTAAGTTAATGCCATCATTGATAGCATTGTTCTTTATGTATGGTGCAGCTTTGCCGTTCAGCTTCACATCAAATGGAGCATAAACTGTGGCACCATCAGCACACACAATGTCAAGACCCATATGTTTCCGATTCCCACTGCAGCACAAACACACATAATAAGAATAGTCCTATCATCATTTACTCCCTGTGACCAAAATTAAGTAGTTGATAAAAAAATTAAAAAAAACTACTCGCATAGCTTTAAAATCTTAATGTAGGCTACATTCAAACATTATGCAATAAATCAATATCTGACATCAGTGACATCAAACTGTATTCGTTTGAGTGTGTCTTGTGACAACTGATCAGTGAATAATAATATTAGTACACATTAATTTCTACTGCATGGAAAAAAGCAGTCTGTTCAGTCTGCAAAATATCTTCTGTTTCTTATGAAAGATAGAAGGTCATATTGGTTGTAAACAACTTGAGGGCGAGTAAATGATGCTTTTTTTTCGTATGATGTCTGTGGTACAGATTTAAAATCTTTTGTAAAGTTGAGTTGTTGGGTTGTATCAAACTTGTGTAGTAAAACACTCAAAACAAAAGAATGATCAATATGTTAGCACACCCTTCACTAAAAATGTGTCATGACTTCTGGGAAGAGCCATGAGGAAATAAAACTGTACCATGTTTGTTCTGAAAGCTTGTTAATTACTCATTGTTTTTCCATTTTAATTCAGTTAAAATAATCGTAATGTTTTCACTGTCACGTGCTCACAGTAAGCCTGTTAACGTTACCCACAATACATGTTATGTGTACGTCTCTTCATTTTGACATGGTTTTATAAAGTTGGTTGAGACATATGACATTTTAAAACTTCTTAACCCGCATCGGCCCGCGAGCGGGCCGTCGAGGGCGTGGCTATACTTTTATTACCTTTTTTAAGCTTTGTTTTATAACAAATATTCATCTGACTATCATAAACTATGCATCATTTGAAAGCTAAAACACTCAAGAACCATGTTCTAGACTTGTTTTTGCAATCAATACACCAGAGAGGAAAGGGTTAAATAAAATGCAAAAGGACTGCTCATTTGAAAATGAGAAAAATGAACCGCTATACTCATCTTTCATCGAGAAGGGTCTGGCTGCAGACTTGCACTCTCAGACTTGCACTCTCAGACTTGCACGCTCAGACTTGCACGCTCAGACACGAGCGCTTCCGCTGCAAGTGACGTCACTTGCAGTCGACACCTGCTCTCCGCTACCGGCTGTGGCGTCACTTGCAATCCCTTGTTCTCCGTTTATTTCACAGAGTCGATTGATGCCAGATTTGAAGATAGCCAGCAAGTGGTGTTTGGATCAATCTAGTGCACTGTATGGTTCTGTTCATTTGCCCAAAGTAGAGTGTATGGAGGAACAAGACGTTGCGGAAGCCATTGAGAGATTAGAGAAGGCTGAGTTTCCACAGGACAGAATCGATGCTCTGGAACCCTTTTGCTTCATCTTTACTGTAATGAATGACATGCAAATGTTTCTTGAACATGTAGTCGATGTCATGAAATTAAAGGTAAACTGTCGAACTACACTAGAGCAAAGTGAATAATGTGCTAATGTGTTTTTATATATGTTGTATATTGTCTATTTCTACCTTGTATTTGTCTGTTTTGCACATTAACTGTATGTAATAACTGTAAATTGACATTTACAATAAAAAGAAAAAAAATGCATCATCTTGATGTTTTACATCTACAAACTGTTCCCACAAAGTTAGGAGCATGAAATTGTCCAAAATGTCTTGAAAATAATTAAATATATAATAATAGTAAAAATAATTTCTTTCTTTCTCAAAACTGAGTTTTGATTTCTAAGTGATCAATTTATGTACAAGTGTTTTCCCACATGATTGGCTGTAGGTCATCAGTTAATTAATGTGGCATTTAAATGCCAGTGTTTCCCAAATGAAACACAAGAGCTGTTAGTTTTGAATGATGTGTGTAATGTAGAGAAATGTGTTTAGAGTTTTGCAAATAGTTTGTTTTTCAAATGCAAACTGAGTGCAAAGCATATAGTGTCCTTGTATTTTTGCAGGCTTGGCCTAAAGATTGGGTACATGAGTGAATGGTTTCACTGAGTGAGCCTCAAATTCCACTTGTAGTGTTTTAGCAATTTGAAAAAAACTGTCAACAAAATGACAAATGACACCTTAACACGACCAAAATGAGCGTGTCTACGCGTTCAAAAGAAACACGTAAAAAATTGCCGCGGACAAACACTTCGTGTTGACGCGGTCAAATTTCACGCGTTTCGTTTAAAGACTATTACGATCGCGTTCCGTAGAGATCAGGCGTCGATTGCAAGTGACGTCACTTGCAGAGGAAGCGCTCGTGTCTGAGAGTGCAAGTGACGTCACTTGCAGAGGAAGCGCTCGTGTCTGAGCGTGCAAGTCCGAGAGTGCAAGTGACGTCACTTGTCTGCAGCCAGACGCTATTGCTTTCATCTCGTATGGTTCAGATCAGTTCGGAAGAATCCAAGAAACAACAGCATACATTTCAATGTAAGGGTCCACTCTTCAAAATGCATCCCACTTTTTAATCCAAAACAACGAAAAATAGGGGAAAAAAATGAAATATCCTCCTTTGTTTTCATGAGCGTTTTCGAGATAGAGTTCGCATCATGTTCATTTTCAAAGAAATATCGATTCTAATCCATATTCCAACACTCAAAAGCCATCTCACCCCCGCAGTTTAGACTCTTCCGGATCGAATGATACATCCTACTTCTCTGTCCTTCAATCACAGGCTCTGTTACAGACCAAAACAGTAAGAGAGTCCCTGACAGGCTGAGCGCGCTGTCCATCGCGCAGCTGGGCTTTCGACTGGATAAAAGCCTGGATAATGCTATCCAATGTCCTTTGAGCTACGTTTTGATTGATGGGAGTATTAGCCAACTAAAATCGATTGCAGTGATAGACAGTTCATGCAAGCACATTCGTCAAATTCAACTGCGCAAAGTTTTCATTCACATGTGCGCTTTCGCCACGCGCGCAGCACGCACACACATAGTTCCGACCAGAATGTAAACAGACACATAAACGCGATGTTTTGACACATGGAGCTTGCATAAATGCACGGATTTACTCTAAAGCTTATATCTGAGCATCTGTATCATGGATCGTCGACTACAGAAGAGATTTGAAGGTTTTTTTGCAGAAAATGACGAAGAGCAACAGGAAGTAATAGGATATTCATTATAAGTATCAGTTTATTGCAATTTATTTGGGTAAAAACCACGTTTGTAATTACAAATGTTCTAAAACATTTATGTTTTTCTTTTTATATATTTTATACATTAGTTGGAAAATGAACACTTCTGCAATGTCTATACATAGTGAGAAATCACTGTTTTTGCTATTAGAATTGTTCAAAATAAAGATAATTTTGGTAAAATGTTCAAATGTTGTGCTGAAATCGTTTTTTTCTTGTGTGGTTTGAAGGGCATAACAGTTCTGAATTGTTGTTGCAGACCTATAGTGTTTACTCCCTATGTAAAGTGTTTGGGTGCCAGGTGTCCATTTGGAGTCTCCAAATTGCATTTTGGAAAGGACGCCTATACTTTTCTTGAATAAAAGCTTACAGAAGCTACATTTTTGGGAGTATCATCCTCAAATTTGAATCTAAACATGGTCAGACATTCAATTTTATCTTTATGGTGTTTTCAGGCCCTTAACATAAAAGTCTGATCATTTTTTCCCTAAGTGAAGTTAATTAAAAGAAATCGTGAGTCACATTCATGTAAATTTTACCTTGTTTTACTCTGTTCCTATGCTACTTTGAGTAATAATGACTCTTGGGTAACAAAGTTCCAAGTGTCTAGTTTAAAAAAAGATCAGAGTTATGAATGTGGACCATAGGGTTTAAGAGCTACAGACATTTGTATTTGGGTATGTCATTTTCAGAAAATTCTCAAAAAATGGGGCGCTGGTTAAGAGGTTAAATTAATAGTCAGACATATCAGAGAGGCCATTATAATAATTGACTGTTAAAATCCCACGTGTTAGATTGTGTCATTTACTGTATAGGCCTACTTATATATGGTCAGGAAAAGTCTTGTCAATAATGTTATTTCTATTCAGATTTCTTGCATCTCTCTCTATTATTTTTTTCTCAGTTCAGATGGGCTTTATTGACATGAGTGTTTCTAGAACCTTTGTTCCCACAACATCAAAATCATTTTTTTTTCCAAATCTTTGAACAGTATGCAATAATTGTATTATGAACAGTAATTGGTATGAAGATTGATATCATTATTTTTATCATTATCATTACTCTGTGGTAACTAAGATCTTTTAAATATGAAATTTTAAAATTAGAGAGTAGAACATGTTCAACTAAATGTTCCTTATTTAATTCACTTCTCTTTCTCTCTCTTAGGAGTCAGTGATGATGTTGTCCATGTGTTTGTCCATCCATTGAAGTGGTTCACGTCATGATCAAATTTGTTTTTGTGTGTGTTCAAGTTCAGTTGTTACATATTATTTTGTAAAATATTTTGTGTGTTCAATTTCAGTTGTTATATATTATTTTATAAAAGATTTTGTGTGTTCAAGTTCAAGTGTTATATATTATTTTGTAAAATACACAATCTTAAATCTACCCCCTGAGTCATCCTTGTCTTCCCTCTGTACTTGAAAATGTGGTCCATCGAGTGACTGAAAAGGCTATAACATGATTCCTTGTTTATTTTACTTGAGTTATATTATAGTATGCTACTTAGACCCAATTTCTCAACATTCCTAGGAACCTGGTTTAATTGCAATAAAGAAAGTAGTATTTGGGTGTAATAAAACTTTTTAAAAAACTCTAATGTAGTTAAAACTGGGTGGAGATACTGCCTTGGTGGCACTTTTTTCGTTCCTCCAAACTGGGTCCTGGAAATGCGTTCCTGGGACTGCGGTTCTCCGACTCGGTAGGTGGCGCTGTCACAAAAAAACTAGGGTCCTAGAAATGCGGTCCTAGAAGTGGGGTCCTGAAAATGCAGCCTCCGGGACTGCAGGCAGATAATATTGAGAGAACCACTGCTTCAAAGCTTGCTTTGGTGCGAAAAAAATCATGTGACATATGACGTCCGAAGCAGCAAGTGCTTCATTGCCTGAATGAATCATCTGACTGGTTTGCGGTCCAATCAGGTGATTCACTGGAACGGCGCGTCTCGATTCTGAGTCTGATGGTGACTGATCCACCAGTAGCAAGATCAGAAGACCCACTGGCGTAGGCTACTGGCGAAACCATCAAAATGTGTACCCTCATCTGTTTAATCTTGCAAAAAAAAAATTTATGTTCGCCAGCATCATCTGTTCCTTGTGAGCGAGTGTTTTCCAAGTCTGGAGAGGTTGTGAGCAAAAAAAGAAACCGACTCAGTCCAAAAACTGTTGAAAAAATAATGTACCTCAATAAAAATCTTTGAGTGTTCCCCATCCCAAAAATCACCCCCTGCCATAGTTACACAAGCACACCCAACCTATGCCATATTTTCCAAGCACTCTCTCCTAAATAACACAAAACATACATTTATCAATTTTTATTTGTAAATAGAACATTATGCTCAGCATTAGCATGTGCATAAAAGAGTTTTCAAAGGAAATATAGTTAAAAATTTAAAAGTTAAAATGATCTTAGCAAAGATGCTTCAGAACTAAAGTAGTTTCTCCAATACTGCTCACTGATTAATTTGACTGCAGCCTTGCTTTTCGCCAGGAGAGGTCGCTGCAACTGAAGCTTCGAGTAATGAACCCATTTTCGAACCAATTGGCTCAAGTGGTTCAGTGCTTCACAAAAGCTTCATTTGGCCATCACTACTAAACAGCATTTGTATGTTGAAAGTTATAATGTTATTCTATGTGTTAAGTTTGTTAGCTGTATGAGACTAGCAGTAAGCTAGATCAACATTAGAATTGTCACGGGTGTGGTGAAGGTAGGTGAAGACAAGAGTCCAGATTTCCAATTCAAATAAACTTTACTATTAAACACCTCAAGAAACAGGTATAGGCAGCCAGACGATAAACACACCAAGGTAACACAAACATCAGCATTGACGTGCTAACATTCAACGACCGACAAAGACTGAATGAACAGAGGCTAACTAAATACAGAGACAAATGAACCATAATGATGTGAAGACAGGTGACACAGATGATGATAACGAGGGACAGGCTGGTAAGTGAGGGAGTGAATACAGGTGTGGAGACGAGGAGGATTCTGGGAAGTGTAGTGAAGAGACAAGGACAGACTGGTGCAGACGAAGACTGTGACAAGAATAACATACTGATCATATTCTAACATTTCATCATGTTGAGCTATATAACATTGATTTGTTTAATGTACATTTACTCACCTGTCTAATAAAGTACATCCAAGAGCAGCGTCTCGTCAAGTCCAAGTTAGTCGCGGACATGGAGCTCTCGCCATTTCGAAAACACCACGCCGATATTGATCCTCGTTTTATTTCTCCTTTTGTCCCAAAGTCTGCTTGCCGTGGTCCATATTGTTTGAACGAAACAACAACAGCGTGAGCGTGCCGCTAGACGTAACGCAGTTGTCCACGTCTGTCGCCATGGTTACTATGGCAGTACAAGTGGAAACGAGGATATTACATCATTGACAGGCGACAATGACCAGGGATGAGCCATTATTTAAAATTGGAATTTCTCTGAAATTAAAAATCTTTGGGAACTTTTGGGATATTGTAAGTACACAACTGCAGGAAATATATCACACAGTGCAAGTGATTTTTGGATATTTTATTACAAAAATCATCTCAGACTCGAACACAAGCACATCTCAGACTCAGACTCAGCCTAATGATTTCTGGAATAAAAGAAAAATCGATAATTTTGACCCATACAATGTATTGTTGTCTTTTGCCACAAATATACCTGTGCTACTTGTGACTGGTTTTGTGATCCAGGGTCACATATGATTATGTACATGTGTTGCATGTACTTAACTGAATCACTAGTAATTTATATGATGGTGGTAATAAGAAAAATTACATTGAAATATATTTGCTAGACTTGATGACTATGTCACACTGGTTTTCTGTCTCTCTCTCTGTGGTTTTCTGCAATGACATTCTGTACAAAATAGACTTCAGCTAAATGTGTAATTAAAGAGTTAGTTTACCCTAAAATTCTGAAAATTTTAGTCATCCTGATGTACCCTTACATTCGGACCGAATGCAATGATTGGACAAACATTTTCTGGTCCTAAGCCTTATTTATGCATATAAATAATTTAAGACCACTTAACTTATTGATTGCTATCAGGATGTGAAGAGACTTTTAACCAGCATAACAAAAAATGTTTCTGGAACAAATCTCCAACCCTGCCTTTTATGTAACACTGAGAACATAATAGTCTTCAAAACTTTATTGTTAGATTGCAGAGTGCTGGGCACCAGTATAAAGAAATAAGGTAAGAAGCTGATATAAATGGCACAATATTTTAAAGTGGTTTGATGGTTGCCGTTGCATGTGATCATCAACTCCATCGGCATCAGAAGTACTTGGTGGGATCTGATTTGTCACACATTTGAACGTGAACATGGGAAGTGATGCCAGGATAAACGCTCTGCATTGGGAGCAGACTTCCGATCTTCTGCCCTTTCTTCAGGGTCCCGGTGTAACGGTCCGGCTTAACGTAGAACAGCTTGAAGCAGAGACCTGTCAAACAGACATGAGATTACTGTGAGATTATGCTTTTGACGTACAAAATCGTACTCCACATGTCCTATATTTACCATTCTCATCCCTAGGCGTCATGAAACTGACGCCTTGGGAATCATTTTGACCATGCTTCAATATTCGACGCTTTAGGCACCCTTTAGCGTCAGTTACATGACGCGATCCTAGGGCGTCATCTCACTGACGCTTTACCTTTGACGTCAGTTAGATGACGCTATCTAATCCTAACCCTACCCCAGACCTAAACCTACCCGCGTCATCTAACTGACGCTAAAGGTAAAGCGTCAGTGAGATGACGCCCTAGGATCGCGTCATGTCACTGACGCTAAAGGGTGCCTAAAGCGTCGAATATTGAAGCATGGTCAAAATTGTCATTTTAGTGACGCCTTGGGATGAGAATGCGTTGATATTTACTAATATATTAATTTTCAATATAGATATGACCTATTCTATGAAATAAATGTGTGCTACATTGCTATTCATGCTTTAGAATATTTAACATAAGGTACACACCTTCTCCACTTAAGTTAATGCCATCATTGATAGCATTGTTCTTTATGTATGGTGCAGCTTTGCCGTTCAGCTTCACATCAAATGGAGCATAAACTGTGGCACCATCAGCACACACAATGTCAAGACCCATATGTTTCCGATTCCCACTGCAGCACAAACACACATAATAAGAATAGTCCTATCATCATTTACTCCCTGTGACCAAAATTAAGTAGTTGATAAAAAAATTAAAAAAAACTACTCGCATAGCTTTAAAATCTTAATGTAGGCTACATTCAAACATTATGCAATAAATCAAGATCTGACATCAGTGACATCAAACTGTATTCGTTTGAGTGTGTCTTGTGACAACTGATCAGTGAATAATAATATTAGTACACATTAATTTCTACTGCATGGAAAAAAGCAGTCTGTTCAGTCTGCAAAATATCTTCTGTTTCTTATGAAAGATAGAAGGTCATATTGGTTGTAAACAACTTGAGGGCGAGTAAATTATGCTTTTTTTTCGTATGATGTCTGTGGTACAGATTTAAAATCTTTTGTAAAGTTGAGTTGTTGGGTTGTATCAAACTTGTGTAGTAAAACACTCAAAACAAAAGAATGATCAATATGTTAGCACACCCTTTACTAAAAATGTGTCATGACTTCTGGGAAGAGCCATGAGGAAATAAAAGTCAGATAAAATTTGCTTGAGAAATAGAGCTTTATATACAGACAATCAGAAGCAACATGATCAAAAACAGAATTTACCGGCCGGCCCCATAGTTTCCACAGCCATACTTTGTATCACATCCTCTTTTACGGTTACTTGTGTTACCACTGCAGAGGGGGCCAAATGTCACTGTGAAATGAAAAGATATTGTGTTATTTTATGCTTCCTGACTGTCTTTATATTTGTCTGTTGTCTTTTTCTTCATTTACATTTCATACCTCGACTAGCATCAACACGAGAGCTGCAAATCACTGAAAAACAGACACACGTTAAGACTTTAATTTGCATAATTATTGTATTTTGGATTGTTTTTGCAAGGTTTACTTTGCATGTTTACTCTTTTATCAGTGTTTTTTAATGACACAACAAAACATAAGTAAACTTCAAATTTAAAAATGTTAACAATAAAACCCGAATCTTAATGGGTTACTCATTCTTGTTGGCGAGAATATGTGGAATTTTTTTTAACAATATTTAATTTTGATTTAAATGTAATTAAAATAAATGTACATTTTAGAACATAAACATTGTCACAATTAAGTATGCTTCATTTGGGCATTAGACTTGTTTTCTTATCTTACTCATTTACAAGTTATAGAATAAAATTGCTGGCAATAATGATTTCAGTTAAATTGTAATTTCTCACCGGCCAAAAGCAGAAAACTGAAAAGGATGTAAAGTCTCATGATCCTATAAGCTTTGCTTTTCAGATGCTTTCTTCTCTGCTGTCGTCCTCAGTCTGTTTGGCTCATTTAACTGTGAGTTTTTATATTTTGAATGGTGTCATGACTCATGAGGAAATTCTGCTTTCAACACACTTGCACATGTTACAAACACAATGGAATTGCATAACAGCCAAAATGGGAACAAAAGACTACCCTTAAATATAAATTTATGTTGCAGTGAAAATAATCCAGTGCAAAACATAAAATCCAAGTGAAACTCTCAGAATCACTCTATGACCATTTTAGTTTTTCTCATGGGATATTTTTCTGCTTGGTTTTTCAGAACCAACATTGTGCAACCACAGTGCATGATGATGAAAATGAGAAAAGCTAAAATGCAAGCTAAAAGTGTTGAAAGAAATCCTTCGGTTATACATTAGGATGTTCACCAGTCAGGTTAATAGACCTCACCAGCACTAACTTATAGTATTTATGAACACATGTAGTACATACTGAGACTTTATCAATGTTTAAAGGGGTCATGAACTGCATTTCTAAAAAGAAATGTTCAAATGTTCTCTGAGGTTATAAGGTAATTTAGAAGTAATAGAATATTTTCTATCTTTTTTTTTACCCTCTCTTTGAAACACTCTGATGGGCGTGGCACATTGAAGACTTCGAAATAAACGCCCAGTGATATGATTGGGTAACAGTTTTGCATATTAAAATAATTTTCCACATCCCCACCACCATTACATGTGAGTAATTGTTTTGAAAACATCCGATGTTGAAAAATGGCAACCAGTGAAATTCGAGCAAGAAGGTGGCTGGTCGCACACTGAATTCAGTACAGACTACAAAAGTACGGAATCAGAAGACAATACATAAGGAATAAATATTTATATTTATTCCTTATGTCTTTGTAAGCTAGTATTGTATTTTATGGCATTATTTTAGTGTTGAAACAAAGACGCTACAGAAAGGTGTTTATCTCATTACATAGTTAAAACATTGGCCAACTGTATGTAAGGTTACATTTAGTTTCATTGTGTTTTAGTGTGGTTTTCCCTGTTCATGTTTGCCTGAGTTCTCATTCATTATTTGATGTCATTGTTATTGTGGACCTTGTTCAGTTTCTTTTCTCCTGTGTATTCAAGCCCTCTGTTTACTTAATGTCATTATTATCTTTGCTTTGGTAAATCTGTTGCGTTGGTTTTCTTCTAACTGTTATGTTGAATTGCCTTCTTGTTTTTGACAAAATGCCCATCTTTGGTCTATGCCCATCTTACACTCGCTGCCGGCTAGCCTCGACCGGAGAAACCATCGCCGTCCGCCAGGAGGCGGAGGAGCATCGAGCCGTCCCCAACGGATGTCCAGTAGCTACCATCGCATGGCACCGCCAGTAAGTCTCTCAGCTGGCTGAGGACCGAGCGGCAGTGTGTCGGGGAACCGGACCAAGATTTTTTTTTCTTTCGTCTCCTCTCTTCCGTCTCTGTCACTCCTCATGTTTCCGTCTCCTTTTCTCTCGCCTCGTCTGTCCATACCTCCAGGTACCGCAGCCGCCATGTCCGGTCGCCCCGGAGGAGGGGAGTAGAGCGCCGCCTCGGGTGTATCTTTTTTTGTATCTTTAGCGCGATATTTTTTTCCCCAGGATGCTAGGGGAAGACTCATTAGGGAATATTCATTAGGGAACTCCTCTCTGATTGGTCTTAACCCCAGTGACTGGTAGGTTTAGGAGCGGAGTTAGGGGTAGGTCATCAGACCAGTCAGGGATGAGTTCCCTAATGTAATACATTACTTTACTCGTAACATTAAAACAAATCTGATTAGGCTATGTAATGCATGTTACTTGTAACACATTACTTTACTTGTAACATCAAAAAAGTAATCTGAATGCGTTATGCCTGCCCCAACACTGCTAATTTCAGATGAGATTGAAAAAAAAACGTATCGCTAGGTCTTCTCAGAAGAGGGCTATGCTAGAAATGTGTCCATCTCTAACATAATCAAAATTATCAGCTAATAAGGGTAAATTGACATACTCTGGTACACTGGAGGGAGCATCTGAGTGGTTTCCACAGTTGTACCTTGACAGGCTGTAGAAAATTCTGATGGAATCACGTCCTCATGTTTTGATATTAAAGATACACGAAGTGCAACTTGTATGAAGGTCAATTGCCTTTGCAATATTTTGGATTTATATATTTTTTGAATATATTTTATAGTTTTCACATGATTTGATATATTTGTATTGATTAGTTTGTTAAATACTAGGGCTGTCAAATGATTAATCACGATTAATCACATCCAAAATAAAAGTTTTTTTTACATAATATATGTGGGTCCACTGAGTATAATTATTTTGTATATATATAAATACACACACATGCATGTATATTTAAGAAAAAAATATTATTTATATATAAAATATTTATATTTATATATAATATAAATTATATATAAATCTATATACCGTATATATATGAAAATATTTCTTAAATATATACAAGTGTCACAATGTGGGTTTGTGTCTTGTCATGTTTAGTGGTTCTATTTCACTGTTACAGACCGCCAGAGACGGTCGAACATAGTGGAAGGAGTCGCGTCTCGCGAGCCATATCGAGAATCTCGCATTGATTTGTCACCTCTGACCCTGACCGATGACGTGTCAGCAGCTATATCCGCTCCGTTCACGTCACGGTCGTTTTTTTTTGTCATTCTCGCGAAGAGATCTCGCTCGAGCGTGCACAGCGTTTTTGGTGAGCAACTGCTCCCCGCTACAGCTGTGTCTCGGGAGAAATATTTGGATATATTTGGATTATAATTGGACGTGCATCGGACCATATACCCACTGGTTGTCCAGGGTTTGTTTGGAACCGATCGCTACTAGCAGTGTTGAGGTGAGTACTCATGTGAACTCAGTGGTTAACCAGGGTTCTGTTATACTGCGTGTGGTATTGTATATTGTCAGAAACTGCTACTTTATGTTATGCTCATTGGTTAACCAGAGTGATACATTGATAAACCTTATTGTGGATAACCCCATTGGTTGACCAGGGGTTTTTTCAACTAACTGGGCTGGAAGTGATGGCAGCTTCATGTTCCCTCTGCTTCGGTCCAATGGATCTCATGGATGCTCATATTCAATGTCCTACTTGCCTAGGCATTGATCACCTCCGAGAGGCTCTAGTAGACCCATGTCCTGAATGTGGTTTGATGTCCTTGGAGATGAGACAGCATCGACATACTGAATTAGACCCTGAGTTTGAGAATTCTGCTCCATCAGCTGGGACAGAGTCACATGTGAGTAGCAAGCGTGTGGCCAGTGGGACTGGAAGGCCTTCAAAGAGGATGCGAACCTCCTCGGAGTCAAGTACATTGACCCAGCAAGTAGCTGAACTTGCGAACGCAGTTCAGGGTATTAGAGACTTATTATCTGTTCCCCCTACTCGTCAGAATGTGAGTGAGGGGACAGGGGGGGGTGTTTTAGCTCCTCCCTTGCCCAGGTGTGAGCTGGCATCCAGGTTGTCCAGGAGAGAACCAGACACTTTATCTATTGTGGCTTCTGACTCCTTAGACCGGGAGGAACAGGAGTATGCAGGGGCGTAATTTGTGGGGGGGATATAACCCCCCCAATATTTAAATTTATGCATTACAACCCCTCCCCCCCCCCCCCCCCCCCCATTATTTATACCATGATCACAATATCAGGAGGCATACCCAAACTTCAAACCCCCCAATGTTCAAACCAAATCTACGCCCTTGGGAGTATTATACGCCAATGGAGGAGACAAGACCCTCACATTCCCAGTTCCAATGTTCCCATAGCGACGACGGTTCTGGCCTTCAGGATGCGCCGCCTTCAGTGGTTTTCTCTCTGCAGGACACACTCAGGATGGCGCTCGCTAAGCGGAATTTGGATCCACCTCCTCCCCTATCAGGCCAGTCAAACCTCTTGCGTCGCCCAGTTTCCCAGCAGGAGGATTTCCTAATGCCGAGTTGTCCTGACTTCACAGATGTGGTTTCTTCGGCGTTTTGGTCAGCTCCCTTATTCAGACCTGATCGTGTGGCTCGTACGCTAGCGGCAATGGCTGATGCAGACGAAAAGGGCCTTGGTAACATGCCCCCAGTGGAGCCATGCATTTCTTCACTGGTAGTGTCACCAGATGAGGCTCTTAGACACAATCTTCGCTGTCCCAACCCAGAGTGTAGACGCACAGATGATCTGTTGGTCAGGATTTATAATACTGTCTCAGGCTTGAGTCGTGTGGGGAATTCCATGGCTCATCTTCTGCTAGCACTTCATTCTGCTTTGAGTACTAACCCACCAGATAATACCACATCTGAGTTACTTGAGGCTTCCTTACAAGCCTTGGGTTCAATCGCATTCTCTAGCGGAAAGGCTCTTGGGCTTACTACTCAGGCTAGGCGGCAGGTTTGGCTAGCACAGTCTAAACTTCCAGAGGCTTGCCGTAGCAATCTTCGTCAACTACCACTGGTACCTGGGCAGATTTTTGGTCCAGCCGCTCAAGAAGCTCTTGAGCGCAGAGTTCGTGCAGTGGAGTCTCGGTCCCAGCACTTTGAGCGCAGTGTGAATTATTAACCATCCTCACATCAAATACCTGTTCGTCATGCAAATCCATTCCAGTGCAGGCAGGGACAGTCTTACAGGTCTGTACAGCAGGCAACTCGATCTGGGTATGACTCGAGAAGGGAGGCATCCCGTGCTCGTAGACCACCTGCTCGCCCTGTGGCTACTTATCGTCGCCCCCCCCAGGGGTAGGGAGACCGCTCCTCATCGTCGGTGATGGTCCAAGGTCTGTGATGGGACACTTTTCAACCTCTCAACTACAACTTTGGAGAGGGATTACGAACAACAAGTGGCTCCTCGACACACTCGACAGGGGCTACTGTCTTCAGTTCCGTCACAGACCCCAATTATGCACACACACTCGGCCCACAATGGTTCGGGACCCTCGTCAGGCTCTTGCTCTATCTCTCGAGGTCCGGAAGCTACTGGGAAAAGGTGCGGTAGAGCTAGTAAACCCCCAGGTCCATCCGGGGGGATTTCATTCAAAGTACTTCCTAGTTC